GGGGGGGCGGGTCATGAGCAGATAGAAGGAGGGTTCATGTGAACTAAAATAAATGACATGTAAAAGTCATGCATAAAGGCTAAAATTCTATTATCATTTTCTATGCCATCTATTGGGGAAATGTGGGTATTGCAGGTAATTGTAGAGGTATAATGATAATATAAATAAATTATATCATTTGGGAAAGCTTGGCCATGCCTGCTTTAGATCATGGCCACAGTAGTGGAGATGTACCAGCTGAGCGCAGCGGTCCTTAAGCGTGGAGCCGATTCAACGTCACTATTAAAGGTATGAAAATAAATTGATTTAAGCGTTTCACAGGTTTTGACAAAGGAGTGACATCAACTGGACAAATCCAGTACAAGATTGATAGAAACAGTATTAGAAATGTATAAAATGTGTTTATTTTCAATTGAAGCATTTTTAACATTCTAGTGCTAAACAGTTTTAACTAGGTTAAAGCTTTTTACTATATAGTTTTAAGCTCAAGTTACACAATAAGTCATCGCAATTACACTCACAAGGCCAGCAAATAAAGTTGTTCCTTCACTCTACTTAGCAGAGTCCAAGCTGCTGTCTCCATCTTCTCCATTGCACTGCATCTGACAAGAAATTGAATGACAGAAACAAGCTGAAACAATTACTATCTGTTGCAAGAAAATTGAGTGTTAAGTATCTGTCAATGAAAGTGCAAAGGCCAAAAAGTGACTCTGTTGCCATAAAGTTTCAGTAAAATACTCACAAGTCCAGCAAACAAGTGATCTGCTTCAAATGAAGTTGCTCCTTCATTCTACTTGGCAGAGTCAGGCCTCCACCTCACATGTCCGGCTTCTCCTCCACTGCACTCCATCTGTAAATGACAATAGCAGAGGAGGCACAATGAATGGAATGACGTGATTGTTCACCGGTCTCTCGGTTTTAAAAGAGGCAGAGTCAAAGAGCAGCGGAGATAACACAGGGCACTCAGTCATTTCCCCAACATATTCAGTCTACTTTATCTGGGTGGCTGACATAAATCCTTTAACGGCCTCACACAGTCACCTTTGAACTAAGCAAACTTTTATTCAAGCAGCCATCTCTCTTGAAGGTCTTAAAGTCACAGACAACCAGGTCACTTAGCTTTATTGGACTGCAATCTGTCAACAACTCAAAAGTAACACAAAACCACAGCAGACAGTTCATTTCATATGTTTCTGTACAGAAAAACGATATTTGCAAGTTAAATTCATATTGTCAAAAAGATGCATCAGCCCAGCTCAAACTCCTGTAAAAGGCAAATTTCCCATTTACCACGACAACTATATGTTCATTATTTAGGACGAAAAACTAACTAGGAATCACTTCCGACAAAAGCTAACGTTAGCTGTCGAGACGCATATGCTAGCGTAAATTGCACTAACGGTCTCGACCGAACGACTACCATTTCAAACAAAGTACAACCGACAATTGTTTTTAAAAACCCACCATTTAAATCAAATGTAGATGTAGCCATCGTGCCCAGTTCTTGGACTTGAAGCCCAAACGGCTAACACTCGTGTCTCAAGCGCCGAATCCGCAACCGGAAATAACGACGCACAACTATTACCATTTCCGTTATACACACGTTCTAATATCAGCGCGCCCCTACAGTTGAACGCTGACATTACATTCTTTTATTTATTTATTTTTTAGTTTGTGAAGTCTCTTAGAACCTTTTCTTTGATAGAAAGAGTTCATTGGTGAAAATCTACAAAAATAAATAATTTAAATACAAAATAATTACAAATAGTTTTTTAGTTAATAGTTATTTCAGCTATGTATCTATATATCTATCTATATATAGATAGATAGTGGGCCCCTTTTTCAGCCTGGGAGTTTCATGCCCAAACCCGGCCCACTTTGCTATGAAGGAGGAATTTGAATAAATGAAATAGCAGCTAGCTCTTACAGTACCTTTTTACAAAAACACTTCATAATGATTCATTTTAAATGAGTTAAATTAAATAAATATTTTAAAGGAAAATAAATCTGCTTAAGAAAATATGCCACTATAAGAATAATTTGTGTGTGTATGTACGTGCATCACATGCTAAATAGGTAGATACACACAAGTGTGGATTTTGTGTTAAGTTTCTAAGTAAGAAACAGGAGGTGGATGATGGTTGGTCTAAGCTCTAGCGTCGGAACAGCACATGACAAGAACAGCTGCTCAAAAAAGAGACAAAGGCAGCAGCCTGCACTGGGCATGTGTATGGTTTCACTTTTCCATCTTCCATTTAAAGCACAGTTCTGTCTGCAGTGGGAGAGGATCACCTGTCTATGCATGATGATACTGTTTTCCATAAAAATCAAACCCAGTTAGGTCACAGCATTAGTTAAAGCACTAAATGAGTAAAAAAAGAAAACTTAACGCCAGCATTTACAAAATTCAACATGTTTTGATAACAATAATTAGACTCAGGACGTGGCATTTTATTTACTTGCACAATGTTGGCTTCTTCAAAAAAATGTAACAACCTTCCTTAACCTCCAGTTAAATCACAAAAGGTTAAAGTCATTCAATAAATCTTTACATTTACAAAATTACAACAGTTTTACTGCAGTAAAGAGCAAAAACCCTTCAAACCAAACTACATTTGAATGTTCTTATTAATCCATTTTCACGTTTCACAAGGTTTTGATTATACAACAGCAGTGAAATAGTGTATTAATTTGTTTAAATACAATAAAATACACTGTGGACCCTAATTCTTGAATTAGACTATAAACATAACATAAAGGTTTTTCTTTTCTTTTGTTTTGCAAATGATATTGTTGTCTTTGTTTCTGATCTAGAAGAATTAGTGATGTCACATTTTTAAATATAGCTTATTTTTTTAAAACAAACTTGTGGGATGTGTGTCACACTGCTATATACACGTGTATATAGCATGTATATACACACAAGTAATGTTAACTCAAAAAAATAAAATATGGTACAGATTTTTGGAAAAAGCATAGAGGAACTAGAAATAAAAATTTACCATTTTCATCTGTGAATTTCAGAAGCGGTGGCAGAACAAACATATTTTATATCACTTTGCCTTTTTGTCATTGTCCAACATTGTTCTTTTTCCAGCTTCACTACAGAGGTTGCTTCCTATAACACCTCTGAAAGAATTGATCGGCGGTGGTAGACTCTGGTCCAGATTAGTGACAGAAACACACACTCATTGGTCCCAGGTTGGGGTCTAAAAGTCTTCAGCTTGAGGTCTGTGGAAATGAAACAAAAAGAGTCTCTATCAAAACAAATTTTGTATTTATGTTTTGGGTTATGAGTTTTCACAACTGGAACTAGTACAATGATCTACAGACTATATCAGTTCCCTGCAGGAACCAGGAACTACATAAAAGTACTGAGACTACATCTGGGCCCCACAGAAGTCCACGATTCAAAGGAAGGATTAACAGGTTTAAAGACACCACAGAGGAATAAATTCAATACATGATCTTTTTCTAACAATTAATTTATGTCTATTAACCAATTAGTTTAATACATTTCCAAAATATGACAAGACAAAAGGAAATGGGCAACACCAACCTTCCTGATTGCCTGGAGGCATCCTCAAAAAATCTGGCTTTCGATGCTACGCTGCAGGTAGAAAAAAAAAAAAAAGGTAACAGGTAGTTTGGTAAGAGTTTTTTTTAAATGGGTGACATAAATAAGTAATATTGTTTCTAGCTTAAGTCTCATTTAGTTCCCTCAGGTTTGGAAGCCTGTAAAAACGAGCAGCTCTACAGCTTTGTATCTAAGCACTTACTAAGATGTGGCCGAGGTGTCGTTGCTGGCTGGACTGTGCTTTTGTGAAGCAGAATTTCTTGACGGGGGATCAGGAGGCCTCATTGGGGGTCTACAGATTGTAGGTTTCTCTGTTGAACTCCTTCTGGACAGACATTCAGTATCTCCTAAAAAATAGATAAGCATTACAATTGACAGAAGCCAAAACAGTAATGTTTGACGTATTTGGTATGGCATGCAAAATTCACAAAATCTAAGTATGTCGTCAATGAATTTCAATTAAAATTTCAATTGTAAACATTATTTGCAGATTTTTTGACTATTCAAGGAAAACAAAGTACAGAGAAAAACGTACATGGGCAAAATGTGCAAACTTGCATAGAATGACAAAGAAAGAGAATAAATAACCATATCATACCATGGAAAATTGTCTTGTGCTGTTTTTAAGTAACCCACAACAAAAGTAAAACTATGTACTGTCTATACTCGTTACTTAAAAGTAAGCAGAAGTAATACATGATTCAATGTAAAATGGAAGTAATTAAAGAATGCAGTTCTTCTTCAAAAAGTGCAGCACAAGCAAACAGTAACTAGTTAAAGTCTATAATCAAGGGTGTAGATGTGTCACATCTAATGTGACCAGATGAATCTAGCAGTGCACTGACAGAGGCTAAAAATAACAAAGGCAAACTCAGGGTCTGAAATGTAAGACAGGGTTCAGATGACAACAATGACAGGAGCGGGTAAAGTACACAACTGAATATCATCATGGCTTATAAGTAGTAGTATAAGTAGCTAGTGGAGCAGCCAATGGAGAAGACGGTGATCAGTAGGGAACACGGTGATCATGACTATTATTTGTGTTCTCAGAAAGAGGGGTCTTATGTATTTTTTTTCTCCTGTTGAAGACAATGTTATCCAAACTCACTTCACAAACAGATCAGGTTGAACACAACTATGTTTCTACGTACCCTCTGTGTTGCCTGATGTGGTCTTTGGTGCTTCTTTTCTGCTCTGGAACGATGGAACTCGGCTCACATACACTCCAGATTCACCATTAGCAACTACATTAGAGTCCGACCTTCTCAGATTTCCTGTCCTCACGACATCAAAGTCTGAGTTTCTGTCTTGGCGAACAGCAGGTTTGGGTGCGAGCACCTGTTTGGGCCGGAACTCTTTACCAGTGAGGGGAGCAGTGCTTACTGGTTTCGTTCGCAGCAAGGGGACTGGGCTTACTAAAGCAGCCACAGAAGAGTGTTCCTCCTGGTCATCTGTTCAAAAAAAAAATTTAAACAAAGGTGTTGATCTTAATGACTTGGTGTGAAATCATAGCAATAATGAAAATGAATTCACAGGAAATAGGATTTTAACAAACATTTAAAAAGCAGGGGAAATAAACCAAATGGACTCCCTGAAGAATTTGTTCAACATGACAAACCTTGTATGAATCACATTATAGTTAAGATACACCAGGAAGGGACGACAAGTTGCAGGTGCTGCCAATTTATCTGCCACAAAGATTGTAATGATGGCGTTCCACCCACTTACATATGGGATTTAAGGATTAGGAAAATACATTTTAGACACAGCCCTTTAAATACATAACTAATGCAAAATTTAAACAGGGCCTAAAGAAATAAATAAAATGATACAGGTAAATGACAGTAAAGAATTTAAGCAAAACATCTTTGCAAATCTAATCTTAATGTTTTCATTCAAACTGACAGTCTGGTAGGGGACCAATGATAAATGTACTTGGAATCACTGGCAGAAGGAGCTGAAGACAAGGATGGTGATGAAAATGAGGGGTTAATAATTACCGTCTGTGTTCTGAATTGGATGCTGACTAATCATTTGATAAACACGCGGTGGCCGCTTGGAGATAGTGATGGGCTGACGCTTTCTTGGAGTAATGCGTGGAGGAGGAACAGGAGGGACGGCGCTGTCTTCTGGCCTACAGCTGAAGATCTGTAATCACGCCACGAAAAAAAAGGAACACTTTTGTTGAAAGCTTTTACTTTAGCAGAGACACAAAAAAAGGAACAAAAAATTGATTGATGCTACTGTGGAAAAGGTTAAGTAATAATTTAATTAGGTATTTAGACATACTGATCATAATGTGCATTGAAATCCACCTTGTTGGAGTGATAAATACAAAATGTGTACTCATTAAGATTCCTGTATTTATAACCGTCTCCTGGAGAGGAGTCCTCTGACCAGCTACAATTGCTAAAAAAAGCTTTCTCAGTCGTCATGTCTTTCTACTTCAGACTTCCTCCTTAAAATATTTATCCTGCTGGGCCAAATAAGAAATAGAGAAGCAATGCAACCTCTGACAGTGTCTCTGTATCTGTGTTCTACATACTGACACAATAGATTTATTCCATCTGCACAGAAAGAACATTGATTTAGCAAAACTATTGGCTACAACAGAAGGAAAGAGAGAGGGACAGACCAAAAGAGGTAAAGAGAGATTTATTGAGTTTGGGACACTATCAGCTGTAGCCTTGACCCTAAAACTAGCACAAGACAGACACGATAACACAAGGTTTTTATGATAAACAGTATATTTACCACATATGGTCACAATTACAATTAATATCTTTCACAATTTTAACTGTTGTCTTATTTGGCCACAAGACAACACATGTGGAACACACATGTGCTGTGTACACAAAGCGACCAGTGTCTCTGTTAGTAATTGCTTTGTAAGAATTTCCAAACAAGGAATAGCAACAGAAAATATTAAAAAATACTACCTTTTTGTAGTCTTCAATCAAAATCTCAACCACAATGTTTTGGAACTTAATGTCCAGCATGGCTGCCACCGTCTCCTCCTTTGCCCTCATCAACGTTGGTCCAAAAATGACTGCCATGTTTGAGGGAGTCATACGGTTGTCATTGCTGCGGCTACACACGCTGTCAACAAATGCAGGGTTTAGAAACAGAAACTGACCAAGCAACAATGGTTATCCCACTGAATAAGAACTTAGCCCAGGGGAACATACGTACCTGACCAAGTGTTTGACAAGCATCCCTAGCATCTCCCAGTTCTTCTCAGGTAGTTTGTAGGTGAGGAAATGAATTTCACTGAGTCGGATGTCCAAATTATCAGACTCTGTTACACAGTGTAGACAAAAAAGGTTAATTCTAATAAATACATTTGATAAGACTTGAGAGAAACTCAATTAATTGCAGTTTTCAGTGATTAATAACCCAAAACTAATTGGCTAACAACAGGCTACAGTATCCCTCCATGCAGGTTGATCTCATCCTTGCTTTGCCTAATAATCTGGATCTTCTTGAGACAAGTGGGCTACTGGATCCTGAGATCAAGGCCAGGCATGACAACAAAACCAAAATTAGGCTCTAAATAATTATTTTCCAGAAAGACCTTACTTGCAGCCCTCATCAGGTCCTTGTGGAGGTCATAGGTCATCAGAGGTTCAGACAGGCTCCTGTAGAAATATGCAGACATGTTATAACAAAGATAAAAAATATATTATTATCCCATTGTGAACCTAATGTAGAAAGCAATTATAAAGCCCAGTTTAATTCAAAGTAGGGTAAGAGTAAACTTATCGTGAACAGTAGTCATGATTAGTATTAACAATAGAATCAATATTAACAATACTTGATAGTATGGTTGAATAACACCAGCACAAATATCTCCATAAATCCATAAAATCCTATGGCTGTTTAGCAGTGAGATCACTTCATATTCTTACTAACCTCAGGTAAAACTTCAGTGCACTTGTGATGGTTTTAATGTCCCAGTCAGTGCTTAGAAGGTCAACTTCCTCCTGGTTTGTTGTGTCTATGCAAAAAGAAGTTTGTTGAGATTTGTGCAATTTTGTGGTGACACAAATCAGAAAGTCTTTTCCATTAACTAAAATTTTACAATAAGACAAATAAAATCAGTATCAGTGTAGTCTGAAGAGAACATTTTAGTGAAAATGTTCACAGGAAGAATTTCTCACCAAAGAAAGTATTTAAAAGCCTCTGTACTTGGATGTTGCTGCCAACTGTTCTGTATACTCCTTCTTGCGTCACTCCTGGGAAGATGAGGAGGAGAAGGAGAGTGGGTTGTGATCAGGACAAAGATAGAGCCAAGTATGCATGGAACTCTACTGATAAAACAGACGTTCTGAATTTACTTAATCTGAAACTGAACAATGCTCCCATATACATGTACTAACGTACAATAATGTTACAAAAAAACACAGACGTTTTCTTTAGACATTTCTTTCACTTAACTGTAGTAAAATTTCTGTAAGGCAGTCTTTATATAAACTGTTCCAATAGAGATGTGATGAATACAAATCTGTCCAATTACAACGGCCTTTACAGACAATTTCATTGAGGATCTTTTCTCCCAGTGGCACCACAATGGCAATGGCACCACAATGGCAAAACAAAATGGATCAACTGCGCCCCCTGAGTGCATTTCGGAGGAATAATGGAACCACTTATTCTACTGGTTTCCAGCTTTCTTTAAATTTTTTTACCTTTTGATTCAACGTAGTCGATGCACTTCCTCACAAACTTGAATCCAGTTTCATTAAGCTCCACTGCAACAAAAAGCATGACAGTGAAAAACAAACAAATGGTCTTCGATTTTTGTAACTCCATTCTGCATGTCTACGAGTCTTGGTTGGAACCCCCCCGAGTCAAGATACCTTCAGACATGACACAGATGGGCAGCTTTAAAACTTCATCTGTACTCATGACTTATTTTGCTGTGAGGCTACAATATTGAGCCCATTTATGGGCCACATTCAGTGATTAAAAAGAAAACCTACGAATACTGTGGTAATAATTGACTTACTTTCAGCTTGCTTCTGAATTGGGGAGTGATAAATCTGAAAAAAGATGGAAAATCAAAAAGCTGATGCAGTGAAAC